ATTCAACCCATTTGTACATATTCCACGTTTACACATAGATGATTATTAATGATTACTATGGAACATATACAGTATCATTCACCAAATAGTAGATTTTCTAGTAGTCATGACAGTGGTAAAGCAGTGCTTATTAAATAGATTAAACGGTAGTCATGGAAACCATCACATATATGACGACACATATTCCCTATATTGAGTGAAAGACATAATCTGCTATACGGACAGCTTGTGCGACTTCCTACGAACGAATCTCTGGTCTCTGGAGGGCCGTTGTCGCGTCGGAAAAGGTCTTGGCTGGGGAGCAATAAGGGTTCAAAGATTGTTCCCATTATATACCACACCCCATTGAGATGCTGCACAATTCACAATAGAGCACATATGTTGAAAAATCAAACATTTCCCGGCCCTTAACCCCCGGCGACAGCGGAAGGCAATACCTGACATCTTCGCTTACTGAAGCTTTTTGCTCGTACTAAACCAAACTAAGCTTTCTATAATTACCCAAAAAATAATTAAATAGTGAAATTCAAATCAAGCAATAAAATCGGCCGTTCACACAGCTAATATGACTTATACATTCGAATGATTAACATCCGGACGACTACATATTCCACTCCGTCCAATTACGGAACTATTTCTTTCCAGGACAGCCGCGAGATTTACAGGTGACGTTAATTCGGAGGCTCCCAAGCATCACGTAACGATTTCCCCATCTGTCCGTTTGAAGTCCACTTCTGAAACGAGATTTTTTCAAAATTTAAGTTCTTTGTAGTTGAACGGGAGAAACCAAAAAGTGATCGTTAGTCAACCTACCCTGATGATTGAGAATTGCCATAGTAACGGCTGGGATAGTTGTATTGAGAGTAACTTCTGTAGATGGTATGCTGGAAGTACTGTGGATAATACTGGTTGGACGAATACTGTGAATAATAAGGGTTGAACGAGTAATATGGGCTGTAGTACTGCATGTTGGCCTGCCGACTCCAACGCTCTTGTTGTTCCATGGCTTCATTCCGGGAATAGTCTTCAAAGCCTGGGGAAGAAGAATGTCTTTTGAATCGCAATGACGCTCCTACGAGACCGAAAAGTGCCACAAAGACTAAGAAGTGGAGCGACATTTCGGTCCGATCAGAAATAAGACTGATCTCTGATTTTACTATAAGTAGTCCCGAATATCGTGAACTGTCGTTCACAATCATGGTGATGGCTGTGTAGAGTTTGGGAGCCTTCTTCCGCCTACTTCGGCGCCCATATAAAAAGCAACTGTTTGACCGCAGAAATATAGGGTTTCTTTTCGAGTTTTTATCGGCTCCCGAGTTGGCTCTTGGGTAGGAGTGGCTAAGAAAAGTATCAACTATAGCACCCGTTGGACCTGCCACTCGAATCAAGTAAGCTGTGTTTCTAAGTGGATTACACAACCACCAGTACAAGTTATTTTTTCCATGTTCCATGTGGTAGTGACACACATGAGTGAAGGGTACAATTCAACGAAATCTTATTGCGCTGTCATGGAGCTCATACACCGTGAAAGATCGTTGGGAGGGCTCATTGGGATCTTCCGGAACGTACATAAAGTTCTTCTGATAACTACGAATTCAATCAAACCAAGTTTTCATTACCGTTCTGTTTTCCGAAGCACCGGTAAGACTCATCACAATAGTCCTGCTTGAATGCCACTACTGAAGGCGCTGGAGTTCCTGGAACAAGAGGAACAATCTGGACCGACGGGAGATGACAGAGGAGTATAAGAAGTGTTGAAGTCCATGGAACCAGTGGCTGGTTAGTGTTGACAGAAGAGATAATGCAAGAGCATTTAAGTATGGCTAACGCTCTAGGAAGACGCTCCTTTTTATTTTGCCCGCTCAGCTCTGGAGTACATTTACACTCTAATTACGTTTTTGAAGGACATGGGCTTTAAGGTTGACCATAAACCACAAGAAATAAGGGCCCAATAAAGCAGCAGAGATGCAACGGCTTGCAACAGGGACGAACGGAGGCGTTACTGGCATCCACATTGGCGATTCGATAGCCAATGGGGCCACTGGTGATACACATAGACACACATAGTACATCATTCAACTGTTCATTTTTCGCTGATATCGCAAGGTTGAAGCAGTCAGGGATAAATTGATCAATGAATGGGAGTCATTACATTGAGAACGAAATGATCACTTTTTCTGAAGTTAGACATGAATTACCTGACGTTACTTCAGTGTCAAACGTTAAAGTGCAACTATGTACATAGGATATACATGGGACTGAACTATAAACAAACAAAAAGTAACAAAAATACATTTCTTCAAAACACTACCAAAAATTCCACTCCCACTCCATCAGTTCTTCGGGAGCCCCACTTCCTCGAAAAATTTCCTCTCAATCGGTTATTAAAGTCATTACGATACGCGATACCTACGTAGCGAATAGCGAACAGATCGGATTATGGTTCTAAAGAGAACTTGCTCAGGTAATTATGTGAAGTTCCATAATTGTAAAGCTCTACACATTTTTGGTGACATGGTCTCGGCGTCCTCACGACTGAACAATATCTGGACGTAGCATTTTAAGTGCCCAGTGAAAACAGTTCACTTATTCAGTTCAGTTTTGGATTTATTTCTTTCCGGGGCATCCGCGAGATTTGCAGGTGACATTCAGGCGGAAGCTGCCCATCATCATGTACCGATTCCCGAATCTGTCCATTTGAAGTCCACCACTGAATAAAAAACTTTGCTTTAGATTATTTCAGGTTCAAAATAGTTTTTTTTTAACAGTAGGGAAAGCTTGGGTCATTCCAAAGAAGACGTAGATAACGATTAGTAAACTCGTAATCAGCGACTAATTTACATCATACGTACATAATCCATGACACGAAAAGTTTGACAAGGACAACAAATTTTAGCCTAGCCGAGGGTCCTACCCAGATTACTCCGCCCACAGGATTCCCCAAACAGTCAGGAAGTGAAGTAGTGAGAAGGTAAGTTTTCAACGTAGCTTACCTTGACGGCTGATAATAACCGTAACTGGTGCTGGGGTAGTTGTACTGAGAGTAGCCATAGCTGTTGTAGCTAGCACGCTGATTATACTGGTTGTATTGGTACTGTTGATAATATTGATTGGTTGGATGCTGATATTGGTATGATTGTGTCTGATACTGCTGATAATACGGATACTGAGAGTAGTATTGGCTAGGCTGCCGATATGAGGTGTAATAACTCGGCTGTTGTTGGTAGTAAGTAGGGTTACTGTAGTACTGGTTATACTGGTACTGTGGACTGTAGTATGCCTGTCTAACCCATCGGGCTTGCTGTCTTATAGCTTTATCCCGGAAATAGTGTTGAAGACTGGGCGAGAGGGAATGTCTTTTGTATCGTAGTGAGGCCGTTGTGAGGCCAAGAAGTCCTAGGAAGACGAGGAGACGGAGCATCATTTTTCGTAAGATAAACAATGGAACTGATAACGGGCTTTACTATATGTAGTCCCGAGGAGGAAACTAGTTTTCTTGACCGATGAATCGGATTGGGTGCAAAATGTTCATCACTTCCTTCGGGAAACGAAATCTCTGTCCCAACGAGGCGGGCATTATGGCGAGAGACGATGAAATGGATTGAGGGACGATAGAATGATATCATCCCACTCCCATGAATAACTGGTTACACTGTGTGAGTTTTGGCTATTGTCCAGCAAAACACGCTTGTCGTATAATTTAGCAACCTTAACTATTCCGGTAAAACTCGTCCGACGTACCGGTTTACCCGCAGTGCAAACCAGGTTAATGCTTAAGTTTAGTATCGATAAAATATGTTAACAGTGTGGTCGCCGCTACTCTTTGGAGCATCCGCCATCTTTGGGTACGGTAGTATCCAAGTATGGCGGGCGTTCAAAAGAAAAAGAAAGTTTCTAAAAAACTCTCTCTATTTCCTAGAAATCCGTATCTCCAGCGGAGAAGTCTTGTGGCCTTCTATAAAATGCACTTGTGCATATCTGAACTCTCCTTTACTAAAATGTCAAGTTACCGTAGTCATGAATTCGATTGAGTAAGGCAGTTTCTGTCAGAAGTAAGTCCTCTTACAATACATCATACCTATTAATATCCATCGATACTTCAAAAACTCATTATTTTGACTGCAATTGACATCCAGGTTCACGGTACTTTTGAAATTTTTTAAAAGCTTAACAATAGCAGTGTGGCGATGACGAAAGCGCAAAAGTTGAGAAATATAAGAACTCATAAGGTCAGACTTCGGGGCTGAGCTGTGACTGCTGGCACTATGACGATACCACGTTACTGATATGAAAACTGTGTAATCAGCTGAATTCAGAAGGGAAAAATGTCGTTAATGTTCATCTTAGTAAACAGCAAACATCAAAAATGCCACTGCAATGAAATGTTGATCAGGGCGAGCTGTTGAGACTTTTCAACATATGCGCTCCAATGCGAATGGTGCAGCCTCTACAAGGCTAATGAAACTCGGCCACTTCTTGACTATGCATACAATGAAGAAAACCCTCAAGCCTTAAGTGCACATTGCCTGAGCCGTTTTTAAACCCGACAACCGCCTGCGTGCTTGTAGTCGAGAGTCTTATTCCTGCATGAGTCTCATAAACCGTTTTCAACGCGAATTGTGACTTCGAATTATTGGTGTGGGTACTATAATACTACACGACAATAGCGTCGCGCTCGCCGCGCGCTGTCGCACTATGAAGGGTAAGGCCTGAGTTCACTGTGAAAGGATACGGTGGTCACCTTGCAGCCACTGCCGATTTCGAAGGAACTCGGAGCGAAATACTGCCACCCTCGAATTANACGCCGTACCACTTCCTCATCACACCTTGCTGGATGGTTCAATTGATGTACGCCGCTACTAATAAAAATAACTGAATTTACAACAGTTTTTATTGTGTACAATTTCAGGAATTCATTTAAATGCAGATGAAAAGAAATCAAAGAATGACACGTAGTAAGTTCTTGAGTATGGAATCGTGAAACATTATGGCCACCATTTTCAGATCGCTCTGTATTTCCTCTGTTGCCCAAGCACCGTACTTAGATACTTCTTTTTCTCATAAAGTAAGTTCTCTCGGAATTTCGTCGAGTTGTAGAACCATGGCAAGAAATCGTCGAAATACTCAATTTCTGGCGACGTTTGTCCTTCCTTCAGCTCCTCTACCTTAATAGTACCTGATCAAATCGAGTAGCTTTATAAGCATCCCTGATAACTACATAAATAATTAGAAAATTTTAAAAATTAGTCAAATTTAGCTGTTAGATAGCAGTATCTCAAAGTGCTATGTGGGTTTTGGTCAATCTTTCAACCTCGATATACCATAATAGGAAGTTCCTAAGCGATGCCATACATCCTACACACCCGATAACACTTAGGTTTCTCACTAATTCTGACTCATAACAGCAGGTCCTACTGTAACTGGTGGTTGACTAACTGGTTTTGAAGTATCCCAGAGCGTCTTTACAATAATTTTAATTGACACCATATAGATTGCGAAAAAACCGTTTACCCTTACGCAATGACAATGCTTACTGTAACTGGTGGTCTTCCATTGCAGACAAGTAACGATATAAGAATCAGTACTATGGCAAGCATTTGTGGGCCTGAAAACATGTTGAGTGACTCAGACGACAACAAATTTTAAACATGATTCCGCCGAGAATCAACAAATCTTTATCATTCGAAGAAACAGCTCAACAAAACTTCATAGATTGGTGGCAAAAGAGGAATGCTGAGGGATTATCATTTCACACCAACGAATTTCAAACCCCTTACAGATGGTTTCTCGCAGCATATCGGTTATTAACAAAACTGCAACTGAGCGCTTTTATCCTTTTGAATAAGCCCGGTGACATACTGCCGATCAGGAACATATGAATTTGAGCAGCGAGGCAAAGTGGTAGGATGCCCGTCTCACAGAAGCAAAAAAAGGGTTCACTTCTTCCTCATCATGGTCTTAAGACTGCATCCACGCTTTTGTCCAAAAAGTCTTCGAGCTGGGTTATAAGACCGCTCCGCTTACAAGTTGGTTGTGGGTTAGCCCCATAGAGCCCAAGTTTCTGGAATGAATCCTTCGCATGATTGGGAAGTTCGTTCTAAATTCTGACTGAATTGTCATCATCTTTTTCTTAATTGAATTCGCCTCATTTACATTCCAGAATGCTTAGAAAGCGTTTATAGTCGCTAAAGCGGCGATAGGACAAACAGAGTCCACGTTCCCATACCGCTAATGGGAGAAAGGTACGTGCCTGAGACATCCATAAAGGAAGCAGGTAGAGTTTCTACAATGCAACAGAGTTGGACCAACTATAGTGGAGTGCATCTAGATTTTTTTTCAGGCTCCATTTTTCGGATCTGACTCTCGAAAGACTTCTGGCAACAAATTTGCAGAAGATTTGTTGTCAGCGGTTTTTTTATGAGTGAACTCCCTTCCTTGTAAAGTCAGTGCCATCTTTTCAAGAAGAAATACTTCTGAGGTTAGGAATGGATGAACAATCTTTTCTCTGAACCGCTTTTACTCTCTCCATATCGCTCGAGTGTTCTCAACTTGAACAAGCCGTAAATGTTGCTCGACAACGACCGATTGCTAGACGGATGTTATCCGCTCTGCTGATGCTCCAGATCGATACGCATCCAATATACTCCGTTGTTTTCCCGATCCTTCCGAATCACAACTCTGAGAAACCTCCTAACCCTACTGCCAGTATGAAGACCCATTTTTCAGATTCTCACATCTGATGTTGACATAGTAGAACATTTCTAAGACCTCTACAGCCTCCTTAATTTGCAAAACTGGCGAACAGTGTAGGTTCGTATCGATAAGGAGAATTAGACTAATCGAGTGGGTGTCTATCCATTTTATGTCTTTTATATAAGGTACCGAGACAAATTGATCTTTTTTCAAGCTGAATGTATGGATTTCCTTTGATATTTCATGCCATTCATCAAAGCCTTCTAGAGCTAACCCTAGGGCTAATAGCTTTGGCCGAAATTTGTGGAGAGCCGAGAGCGAGCAAGACAAGAGTCATTCATCAAGAAAATTAATTGCGGTCAAGCCGCGGTGAACGGCAGCAATCGCCTTTGAAGTATAACAACCAGATGGATGGAGCAATAACAAAGAAATCGCCTCAAGATCACTGCCACTCTGGTAGAAGTCATGCGTAAGGGATTGTAAAGCGGCAGCAGAATCGGGGGAACATGTGTAGATGTCAGGTGTTCTAGAAGAAAAAGAGGGCTGAATTACGCTTCACACAAGTTTCCGAGACTTGTTGTTAGTGTTCTTAGTTGTTATAAGATAAATTCGCTCCGAGTTGGATATTTGCCATGGGAACTTCATAGCTAGAATCAGTGCCGCGCGCTCGTCTGATTCACATTCAAAACCTTTTCTCTTGATTTTCAGATCATCCGTTCATCGAATACAAGGGACTGACAAAAAATCAGACACTATGGATTGGGAAGAGAGCGCAGACAACGTGAGATGCGCCGGTGGAACGAGGAGTTGGCGTCATCGACTGTAGATCAAACCAAACGGTCTTAAGGGGCAGCAAGTTCAAAAGAAACTTCTTAAGGAAATTCTGGCAAGCCAAGTGCACTACTAGAGCTGGCATGACTGGTTTCAAACAAAAAGGTCTTTCTTAAAATATGAATTTTGTTTCCCAGAAGATTCCGAACTCCCATACTCTTGACTTATTTGTTGCCAGAGACGTCAAAAGCGGCTACACAGCGGCTACATCCCATGTGCGAGCTGAAGATGCATTCAACTAATGCTGGATTTAAGGAAAAGTCCAATAAAAGTTAGATGAGTCTGGAAGCTGTGCTCAAAGCCGTTTGGAATAATTATACAAAAAAGCGTTTCTTGGAGTGACTTCTTAGCATATTCATGTGTTAGCATCCAGAAATTAATCAATTCAGAGAGGGTGATAGCTGGAAGACACTTCGAATTTGGGTTGTTTCGAATGTGGGAATCAAACTGGAGAGTTGTTGTACAAGGCTCTTTCCATTTCCTTCTTTGAAATTGGCGGATTTCATCATGGTTCGCATTTTTAAAGTACTGACATCGGAAACTCTTTCCCCAATTCTTAGTTTTCTAAAAACGTTCCTCTCTCTAGTCAGGGTGACTTAAACGGCGACTGAACCAACAATGTAATCCCCGACGTACTTCGTTCACTGAAGATACGGCTTATGCGGCAACGGTCTGTTCAAGCCAATAAGCATCTGTGATGGGGAGATGGGCGTGATCACTATGAAGGGGGGGGGGGGGGGGGACAGAGAGAGAAGGAGGTTAATGAGGAAGAAGGAGTGAAATTCAACCCGGATACATACTGCCGCCAGTGAAGAGAAGGTGCCAGTCACTCACAATCACGCTTCTATCGAGGGATCCGTGATACCAGGAAAATGGTGCTCCTCAGGTGTTATTTTGGCAGGACCAGGGTGGGGGTCCGGTAGCAGAGCGAGAGCATGAAATGAAGTCGACAGATTGGGTGGTCTTCCCGTGAAGAGAGAGTGAGGAGACGAGCAATAAGTGCTTTTTCTTCCAACCATTTTCTTCCGATTTAAAGTACTGGTCGATTACAGTTTGGAGGTTAGCGAGATCTTTGATGCCATACTGTTCATGCACCGCGTGTACGGAACTTGACGACAGCGATTTGGCTACTTATTGATCGAAAAACTAGCGATTTCCGCCATATTGGCCGGGTCGATGGATTCCGACTTATGGCGCCAATGTCGTCGCTTTCGCTTGTAATTTTCTACTTCAGTTTGAGTGGTAGATAAGCCTTAAAACTGAGCATATTCAACGATAACGTTTTCTGAAACTCAGCTGATCAAATTCTGATCAAACGTTATACTGTGCAGATTGATATAATACATCAGTGAGCATAGTGAAACCAGTTGGGAGAAACGATGCGAATAAGGTTATGAAAACAAGGCAGTGTGTCAGATTCTCAATCATCCCCATGACGGTTCTACTAAATACAAAGCGTCATCAATGCCGGGGAAACATGCCATATCTAAAAACTAGTAGAAGGAAGATTGGAACGAGAAAGACATCTGTCAACATTTCAAACCGGAAAACCGTCGTCTATACATTTCAATGCTAGATTTGGCTACGAAAAACGTATGTACAGACGTTCAGGTCTGTCTGCGTAAGCCTTTCGATGCAGTTGTTGAATGGGAAGCATTTTGTCTCTGTAGGAGACAGGAGCTGTCCCAAAATCTACACTTTGGAAATTGTCAATGTTTTTGAGCACTACGTCCACTGATATCAGTAATGAATAGAACCGGCCTCTCGGTTCATTGTACAGGTTGATGGCACATTCAAATACGTCCGCAACCCCTAGTGAGGTCTAAATGCACGGCGCATACTCAGCAGGGCCTTGGAGAGCTAAGCACTTCAGCGTTTTTACAATCCAGCATTTGCGGCAGAGAGAAACATGTTTGAAGCCGCGAACGCGTGAAGACATGCTGAAATGCGGGCGAACACGATTTGACAAGTCCAACATTTTGTTCGAAATATAGCATTTCTGGCAGTGTTCCAAAATTTACAGTAAAACGAATGTTTACTGTACCGGTAGCTCGGTGCCAAAGTTTAGGACCAATTTTGTAGAGGTGAAACACTGGAGCAATGTGCAGGTGTCAGAGACAGACAACTCAGCCTTGACCTTCAATTCATCATTACTAATGTGTAAGGTGAAGTAACCAAAGAAATAACTTCAATGTCACATATAAACAAAACTACCGTAGAGAAGTTTTGAGCAAGTATGTAGATATAAACCCGCACCAATCGATAACATGGATTCAAGCAAAGAAACAGAAAACCATACATTTGATTGCACTTCTATCACACATTACAGGCGCTTGTAAACTACTGAACCTACTTTAGGTAAACCTAACTACTTCAGGTCTTTTTTTCTTCGAGTTTAACAAGTTCTGTAGTAAATTAAACCGTACTAATGTGCCTTTCATGCAAAGAGGTTTTCGTGACGACCGCGACGTGGCCGCTGCGCGTCAGTGAGCTGTGCACTCCTCAGTACGTGGCGGTCGCGACATGTTGCAATGAACGAATCCGTTTATTTGGCTTGTTCCTTATTTGGAGCCGTACAGAGCTAAGGCGTTTACTGGAAAAAGGTGAATAATGTATAACGAATAGTAATATTGATGAGGTCATTGGTTCTTTGGTCAAAAAAAGGTACCACATCGTCCAAAAGAGTACAAGTAGTGGTCGACAGCGGCTAATTGTCTTTGCACTTGTGAGCAACACAGGCACGAAGAAGGGTTGGTACTCGCAGATGGGTTTTCAAAGATTTTAAAGAGGACAACTATGGGCTTTCGAGACATTTGCTTTTAAAGTGGTGATTCGTCAGAGAAGGGTTAGTTGAAGTGACTGCAGGTCGTTGAGTGAAGTGCAACCTATCTGAGCGGTCTATCTCATTCCAAGCAAGTCATATGATACTCGTCGCATTGTCATCTTTCTACCAATAAATTCTCAGAGAAGTATTGGAACCTATCAACTGATGCAATCGCGATAACATTACGACATTGACCTGTGCTTGATAAGGGAAGGCAGTTCAGAGAAAAGGGAAGTGTCGAGAGCGTAA